GCCACAGGCTGATCGCTTCCATGCCACACCTCACTGATGCTGTCATTTGTGCGAAAGGAGCCCCGACCAAGTATTGGGTGTATAAATGAACATACTTTAAAGAACTTGAACGTTTCAGTTTTGCAAATCCTTTTTTTATTGATCTTAGGAAATATTCTAATATTTTGAGATACTGGATTTTTTACTTTCATTAGCTGTAAACTCTAATTATCAAAATTGAAACATAAAATCTTTTGAAATGTTTTACTTTACATGTAATGAATCTAGAATATATGAAAGTTATCTCAGTTATTTCATATTGAGCATGAGCACAAGTTTAGGCCTATCTCATATTGAGCATGAGCACAAGCGCTGAAACACTGTTCAAAGTTTAAAGTTCAGAGTAGCAGCAATAAATAACCCTAAAGTGAACATGCAATAGGGGGTTTATTTGAAAGCTGAGGCAAACGTTTAGTCTCCAGACTTCTTCAGTCCTTAATAACAACAATTAATTTGAAATAACCCAATAAATGTATATCATCTTACCTTAATTAAGACAAGTTTCAAAATTCTTTTGAAGAATTTAAATTATTAGATTTTATTTTAAGAACAATATCAAGAGTAAAGAAAGGAATAGCCTATTTTGGATTTAAGAATACAAAATATTCTTAATATTTATTTCTTAGGAAAGAAAATAAAAATATAATAATTTTATTGTTTAGAATGTTTGATCTGTAAGCTACACTGGAAATTGGAACTGTGATTTGAAAAACTTAATTTTGTTTGCTTAATAAATGTTGAAAAAGTCTTTGAGCTGTTACTAATACAGTTGTCAGGCAAAAGCAAATATTACGCAATGTATATTGTACCTGAAATATGGAACAGCATTCTCCATTTATCTCATATTCAGCACAAGTCTGAAACAGTTTAAAGTTCAAAGTAGCAGCAATGAATAATGCGATCCCTAAATTGATCATGTTCATATGAAGTGCATAAACTCTGTTCTGGTTTCTTCAACACATCTAGTCCTGGATTGTTAGTCTCCAGCTAGTGATGTTGTCAAGCTCTGCATGTTCAAACTTGAGAGCAAGGAGTCCAAAAAGAAGTTACAAAAGCAGTCCACAGCAGTGGCAATGCCAGAAGTTGAAAAGTGAGTGGACCTTGGTGATATAGGGTGGACATCAGTGCCCACTTTCAAACTAAAGTGCATAATTATCCAATACATGAGATAAAAAATAAGACCAAATTTAGACCTAAAACCACCATTATTGGTTTTGGTTGAAAGAGGAAAAAGGTCTCAACAAGAATCATTGTTTCAGGTAGACAATACCAAGTACATGTAAACAGTACACATGCTGCTTTTGGGCTGCATTTTGGTTTGTAACTTCAACAAACATTACTAAACCAAATCACATATATTTATTTAGAGCAGGTGTTCTCGAGTCAAATAAACACAACATAATACAATGTGTAGATCTTGAGGTGATCCTCATGGCATTCCATGCTGCTTTGCAAGAGCTGCAAGACAAACGGGATCCGATCGCTTCACTATAATGATGATGCAGTGTTTTCCAACTTTCTTTGAGTTCCAACGTCTTTTAAGTTCAACCAATGGAAAGTGGATCTCAGGTATGATGGGTGGGTATAGTGGGTAGGGACGATAAAGACCTGCTTTACAGTGAGAGCGTGCTGTATTGATCGCTCAGACTGACAGCTCTTCCATTTACCATTCACCACAGAATAGAAGCGGTAATTAAGAAGAAGCCCTTTAGATTCGCTCATCAGCTGTTTATGGAGTCTTCAGGTTCTTTGGTAGAGCTTTTGGATTCCTTAAGACCAAGATTAAATTTCTTTCAATATCAGGTCACACACTGCATGTCTCCTCTTGAAACAGAACAGGCAGCTGATTGATGTAAAGGGCTGAAATGATAAAATCACAATTTAGTTTAATGTGCTGCTTTAAAGGTGCACCAAATTTGCATGTTTACATTTTGCTGGCTTATATTTACCCAAACAACTGATATGACGACTTAAGCCCAGAATAATTATTTTACTTTTATGCATTTGGCAGATGTTAAAACATTCATATAACGTTCAAAGCTCTTCATTCCAAGTGGGAATAACAACCAGGGCAAGATTAACAAAAATGAACCTGCTCTAACTTGTAAGCAACTTGCATAACCAGTAAAATATATATTACTCATCTGCACCTATTTACTGAAATATTCCAGCAAAGCATAGTGGTAGCATGCAAGAAGGCAAAATCAAGTTCTTTTATTGACTTTACTGAATTTATTCATTTCCTTTTACTTAGCAAATAAACATATTTGATACCTGCTAAGAAGCCTGTTCTGAAATTTGGAGACTGTTCTATTCTATAGAGCAAGGTTTTAGAAGTAGAAGGCTCTTACCTACTAGTGTTGAATATAAGAGGGGTCACTGAGTCTGGTGATGTCTGTGAAAAGTTAATTTCATTAAAAATTACTCAATATCCACATTTGACACAGCACAATACCAGAGTATTATGATATCTATATACAATTTTTGCATGATTTTTCCAAATTACTCTACTTTGCTTTGTGCACTCATGTTATAAAGGGGTGCTTTGCTGGCTGTGATGGTATCTGTGGGGTTACAGTCTGTTTGCAAAGCATACAGCAAAAATCAAGATAAACTGAACTCTTTTATCCCATAATAACATGTAAAGTTTGTTTCCTTGTGATATGACCCCTTTAACGCACTAAATGTTAATTTGTATTCTTAAATGTTTAATAATAGTAATACTAATAATAATAATTAAAATACAAACAAATATAATATTATCATGCACACAGTTTAATTTTTCACTTACTGGTTCACACTGACCATCACTCTCTTGTATTGGTACTGAGCAAAAAATTATACCTAAAACACAAAACAAGTATATTATCACTTGCACAACACCTTAACGTTTTATTTGTATACATATATTTTTGTAATAATTACAGTCTTCTGTCAAAAGCCTGTCTCTTCTGTTTAACTTTGCAATAGATTTTTATCCCAACAGCTGTCACCAAAACACCAACAATGACTCCAACAACGACTCCAACAATGATAGCAATTGGAACTGACTTCCCACATTCCACATCAGATGATATTGTTCCTGGTTTTATTCCTTTAAGGCCTTTAATCTCACAACTATAAATGTATACATTGTTAGCATATCTGGTCATATTAGAATATATTTTAAGACTTGTGACTCTATGTTAATCACTCACTTTGAATGTGGTCGACAGGCAGTGAAAGAGCCATTAGAGTAAGTCCCTTCCATGCAGTTACCACATACAGTATCAGTAAATGCTGTTCCTGTAAGGATATTAAGATAATGACTGTATTAATGGGAGTTTATCATTACAAGTATTACTGGTATTGTTCTTGTTTCTAAGTCAATATTTTTAGTAAAGCTAGTTGTCCTTCCACTCTATGGCCATTGTTTTCTGAAAATATTCACCTGTTTGTTTGACATAATGTCCAGGGTAACATTCAGAGTGCTTCACAGCAAATCTACAGCTGTCTTTCTTTCGCTCAGTGCAGTAGAATCCCTCCAATGGCTCACAAATAGTATCTGCAGAGCGTGTGCAAGTTTTCTTTATTCTTAGACCTAGTGCTGTGAAAAAAATGCGTTCTTATATAAACAAATGTACTAGAAGTAATTTCTATATTTTAAATCTTCATTTTGAAATACATACCTGCATCACACACAGAGCAGGGAAAGCATTTATCCAACCTATTAGGTTCATCAATGTAAGTTGATGCAGGGCATGGAACACAAGTTGTGCTTGTGTCTACAGTACAATGCCAATAAACATGGTTTCCTAAAAATGTTTTTAAAAATCTCATTGAAGGGACACTTCATGGAAGAATTAAATATTACAATAAAAAAAAAAAAATGTTTCTTTGGGTCACACTACACTGCTGCTAAACAATGTATACTGTACCTGGTGCACACATGGGGCAGCATTCTCCAAGTATCTCATATTCAGCACGAGCACACGCACTGAAACACTGTTTGAAGTTCAAAGTAGCAGCAATGAATAACATGATCCCTAAATTGATCATGTTCACATAAAGTGCAAGACAGTTTTTTTTTTTAAAGCAGAGTCAAACGTTTCTTCTCCAGACTTCATAAGCTCCGTTATGGTTTCAACAACACATTAGATGAAGTAGTGAATTGTTGGTCATAGATACATTGGTTTCTCTCCACCTTGTGATGCCATCAGGCTCTGTAGGCTCAAACTTGAGAGCAGCGAGTGCAGAAAGAAGAAAAGCAATCCACAGTAAAATTTGTGTATGCTGAGGTTCAGTTCATCAACATATGAAGGATGGTTGAGGTAATTAATATGATGCCCTTTTGGTTTCCTCATCATCTGTGGAGTCTTTAGGTTCACTGGTATAAATCATTCAGATCCTAAACAACAAGATTAGATTTCTTTCAGTATCAGTTCACACACTGCATGTCTCCACTTGAAACAGTTGAACAGGCAGTTGATTTAGGAGCTGATATAATGGGTGTCTCAATGAGCTCCATAGTTCAATGCACTGATCAGGGTTTCAGCCATTTTAAGGGTTGTCTCAATCGCAAAATCCTTCCAGTGTACTGTAGTGTTTGCTCCCTGAAAAATTCCACCACAAAAACCAGGGAGCATCGATGCTCACTATGCTCCCTTACTGGAAATTATGTCACAGTTCTGAAGCATGAAACATAAAATGGCATAAAAAGCATGAACAAACTCAATAAATATAATGACACATGATAAAAGATGTGAAAAGACAAAAAATTTTGGCCCCACTTTATATTAAGTGGCCTTAAAGGTCCCATGGCATGAAAATTTCACTTTATGAGGTTTTTTAACATTAATATGAGTTCCCCTAGCCGAAGTACATAGTTGTTAAGGCAACTTAATATAAAGTGGGTCCTAATTTTTTCATCAGCATAAACACATTACTAGACAGGTAATGAACACAGTTAAAACTTATAATTAATATTTGACTGAAACGTTGTTGTTACGGACAAGCGTGACAATACGTTTGAAGGTTATGTTTGAAAACAAACATAAAGGTGCAAAATGGTTTCATTTTCACCTACAAACACTCTGGGAAACACCTAACTCTCAGGTGTGTTATTGTTAGGCCACAAGTGTACTTTGTTTCATTTACTGAGAAATCACATGATCAATACCAAGAAACAAGAACTCCATTGTTCTCCATTAAAGGGGTCATATGATGCGATTTCAAGTTTTCCTTTCTCTTTGGAGTGTTACAAGCTGATTGTGCATAGATAAGATCCCTGAAGTTGTAAAGACTAAAGTCTCAAAACCAAAGAGATATTCTTTATCAAAGTTAAGACTCTGCCACGCCGCCCTAAAACGGCTCGTTCTAACACGCCCCCACATATCTACCTCACTATGTGGAAATATTAGCACTTATTATTTCATTTCAATAGAAAACACAGGATGAACACTTTGAGACCATGTCAATATTGCTTGATACAACTGTAAAAAATAACAAGTTAATAAATAAATTAATCATAATTACTCTATATCACTTGATACAATAAGGACAACTTACATTTTAAAACCATAAATTTACTTTATGTAATAATGAATAAATAGCTATAAATAGGCTAATGAACGACTTAACTTGAAACAAGCCAAATAATCAGTCTACTTTTTTAAGTTGTACTCAATTTAGTATTACTTAGGCTATTAAGAGTATTTACATTTTCATTTATTTAATTTATTTTCCTCATATAAAGCATTGAGATTGTATAAGAGACGAAAAGTGTTTCGCTAAGCCGAACCTTTGTCATGATATTTATACAGAACATTTAGGCTACTGTATGGACTATAATCAAGTACAGTCACGACATGTAAAAAAAAAAAAAAAAAAAGATCTTACCGCGGAAGTTAGTTTGGAGAGCAATTCTTTTGAAACGAAGGAAAAATCCTGCTTCCTGGTTTATGCGTTCTGAAGGCAGTGTATGGATCAACAAGAGATTATCTGAGGACATGGGCATGACGCAAGCAGGAGGGTTGAGGCTATATGTGATACAGCGGCGTCATTTTTGTCACGCAACAGCTGGAAAACAGCGGTTGGACGCAAAGACCCTTTCGGCGTGACAGGACTCAGCAAAGCAGTAGCTGAATTTTTTAAAGTTCACTTTCAAAATGCAGTGTTTTGTTTCAGTTCTTTGTAGTTGCTTGTCCACTTCATCCAGCACAGTTTGGTCTCTGTGTACTTGTTTGTTTTACGGACTGAGAAACCGCATCAGATGATTCAACATAGGCAATGAACCAGCTCCTGTAAGGCTAAAAGTAGTCTAATGTAATTGTGTAATGTATTAACCGAGCGGCAACCTCTCGCTCTCTCTCTTGAAGCCAACAAGGAAGTGACTTAAACTGTAATTCATCGACTGGCCGCTAGAGGCTGGCTGCAAAAGGGAGTCAATCCCATGGACTCTCCATAGGGGGGTAAATTTTTTTATAACTCATCCGTTTAAATTATATTAATAATGTGGCCACTTGAGTGACAGGTGGATTGACGTTGCTGTCTCTATCAGCCGCTGAACTTGGCATCTCTGCGTGTTTCTGCTTTTGTTTTATTCAGTCTGTGGGTTATTTTCGTGATTATTTCTTAAAATTATCAAATAAAATGTCTTGTTGTGCGGTTAATTGTACTAACAGACCGTTGAACACTTTGAGCACCTCAGCGCCAGCCTCTTTGCCCATTTTCGATTATCCGGGAGTGACGCGCGGTGACGCGCTGCCAAGATGGCGACGACCGGCTCCGCCCACTTTGGACTTCAAAAAAGCTCTTCAGAATTCAACGGGTGACGTCACGTACACTACGTCCATGTTTTTATAAAATGGCCAAGTATGGTGACCCATACTCGGAATTAGTGCTCTGCATTAAACCCATCCTAAGTGCACACACACAGCAGTGAATGCACACACCCGGAGCAGTGGGCAGCCATTTTTTGCTGCGGCGCCCAGGGAGCAGTTGGGGGTTCGGTGCCTTGCTCAAGGGCACCTCAGTTGTGGTGTTGAAGGTGGGAGAGAGTGCTGTACATTCACTCCCCCCACCTACAATCCCTGCCGGTACAAGACTCGAACCCACAACCTTTGGATTATGAGTCCGACTCTCTAACCATTAGGCCACGACTTCCCCAGTCTATGGTATTAAATATGCTTTTTAAGACAAGCACCGGATATGTGTGTCATGTCATAAAATATTTATCTGACTGAATTTATTTTTAACATGATCACAGTTTAATAAAAACATTGTAAGTTTAAAAATGATTTCATTATTTAATTTAATTTACATGGTTATTCAAACAGCGAATAAATAATACCGAAAGTGAGCAAAAAAACATTTATATTATCATATTATCACTGTCTAGCGCAAGTTTAAGCACTCTCAATAAACTCCCATTATTACTCCCGTTAATATCAATGAATTTGTCTACACTGTGAAAAGTCTCTTACTTACATCATCTGCACTTTGTTTTTCATGATGGGTCATGGGAGAATTTGCAAGATAGTCAGGGGCGGACTGGGGCTAAAAAGTGGCCCTGGACTTTTTTGGCACAGAGCAGCCCACCACACCATAAACCCACCAGCTCATTAGAGCTGTTTTTAACACCACTTACTAACATACAAATATAACACAATACAGATTTTTTAAATTATTATTATCATTAACATTAATGAATGACAGTCATATTCTTTACATTATAATTTGTCTTTCCTGGTGTATATGGAAATTTGTAAATAATATTTTTACACATCTCTTTACATAGAGGGACAGTTTAATATCACTAAAGTAAAATGCCTACCATATAACAATGCTCTGCTCTAGAAGACTTATGTAGTGCAGAATGTGGGCTGTTCCCTTTCAAGGGAACTTCGAACAGCGTCCTCTAGGGGTCGCTATGGGGAACACCTTCCGTGTGACCGGTGTCTGAAGCATACAGGTGCATCTCAATAAATTAGAATGTCGTGGAAAAGTTCATTTCAGTAATTCAACTCAAATTGTGAAACTCGTGTATTAAATAAATTCGACAATAACATTGGCCGGCGAAAGCCTATGACGTCACTACTGGTGCGACCATAGTATAAATAGGCACTGGGAGAACACGTCATCCTCTTCTTCATCTTCACTGACCGTTTGTTTATGTTAGCGTTAAGCTAAACACGACTAGGAGTGCATGTTTCTCGCCAGAGGCTTTGCTCTGATACCTGCAGTTTCAAACGGCTTGCGTGCTGTGTGTGTGTGGTGAAGAGCAAGCGCATTCAGCTCTCGAGGGAGTTGGATGCGCTCTGCATTCATTGCTTATTTCTTCAAACCCCTCCTTTGTGCTTCTGCTCTGAGGAGTAGTAAGCTCTATACGCATAAATGGTTATTGAGTCCCGCTATTTCTTCAGATTCTATCGGGTCTGGTTATACGGGACCCACGCTCTCTAT